AACCTCTCTGCCATCAGTACTTACCACCTCTATTTCTGTCTTTCCCCCACCAATTCCTAAGGACTTTCTCTGTGAAGCTGAGGGCTCACTGTTTGAGGTGCTGGCCTCCTCCCCTTCCTGCCTCCATACCAGGCTACCTGGACTCCCTCAGTGGGCCCTGATGAAGACTACTTGGACTCCTCCCACTGAGGCCCTGGACTCCCTCAGTGGGTTCCTTAGCTGATAACCTGAGATTCACAGCCACAAATTCATCCAGTTAAACTTACCTATCATGTCAGACTCTTGTTTATGGTTAGTTCTTGCTTGGTCTTGTTGCTCAACATCTGAGTTAAAAAATGTTTTTTCCTTCTTTATATCTACCAAACTCACAACACAGGGCTTAATTGGGATTCCTTGGTTGGGTACCTCTGCTCCTGGGCCAAATTGTGAGAAACAAGGCATTTTATTTATCTCTCCAATGGACCCTGCCATCGATAACTCCCTCCCTCACTACTAGTCTCACTACTGGGGAGAAACCTTCACACATGCCCTCAATTTTTTTTTCTGTTGCTTGACTCTATATTTCCTTGTGCATCTCACGACTCTGTTTTCTAATTTAACCGTTTCCTTTGCCTATTATTCACCTTAGGCTTATTTTTTTGTCTTTTTTTACATATAAAATCAAGATTTCTTGAAGCCATGAGTTTGAGATCAACATGAACAACATAGTGTGATCCCATCTGTACAAAACCTAAGAGAAATTAGTGAGGTGTGGTGGCTCACACCTGTAGTACCAGATACTTGGGTGGCCCAAGTGGGAGGATCACTTGAGCCCAAGAATTCAAGGCTTCAGTGAGTTTGATTGGGCCACTGCACTCCAGCCTGGGTGATAGAGCAAGACTCTGTCTCAAATAAATACATAAATAAATAAAGCAAAAACTTTAATAGCATAATAACATATACAGATAAAAGTGGGTTTTGAATGATCACAAAGTAAGCACATGGCTTTGGTGAAGAAACAAGGTTACCACAACCCATTAAAGCCTCCTAGTGACACCTCCCGCTAACAGCCCCTTTAGTGTTCTTAAGGTCAACCACCATCTTGGCTTCCAAACAAAGATTAATTTGGCTGTCATGTAATTTCTATTAATGGAATCATGTTCTCTTCTCTCTCTTTCTCTCTATTTCTCTGCCTCTGTCTCTCTATATACATCTATAATTAGATTAATTTCTATACAAAAGGAGCCTAAAAATGCAAACACACTATAAGAAAGGAGAAAATTGTATAAAAATTGTATTAATAATGTTTGTTGTTCTGTATATTATATCTTCTATAATTACACAAGTCAATACAAATTTTTCCTTTCTTAAAATACATATACATTTTTTGGCACCCTCTGGTGTATATACACACCTACTCCAAAGACACTAAATCCCATTGGGGGGGATTATGTATGTATATGTCTTTTAATTTATATATACATTTTATTCAATATGCTTGTGGGAGTCATCTAAATCCATTCTCTATAATTATTTTCACTTGTATAGTATTCTGTTATAGAAATAAACCACAAATTATTCATTATTTTTGCTGTTCCAGGTATTTGGCTTTTAGAATAATGCTGCTATGGACATGGTTTTGTATGTGTTTTGATAAATGTAATACACATTCTGTTAGTTTCTTCTGAGGAGTTTAACTGTTGCACTCTGAAGCATGTATATTTTTGAGTTTTGGAAGACTACACCAAACTGTATCTGAAATGCCCATGTAAAGGCAGAGATATGAGAGAGAGAAGTCAACAAATGCAAGTAACTAAAATGAGTCTGGTGTGGTGGGAAGGTGGCATGAGAGAGTAATAGGCAAGTGACAGGGAATTTGAGGCTGCATGGTTGGCATCCTTCAACATGCACACAAAACAGGGTTGACTAAAGCTGAGGGCCACAAGAAGGCAATGGGTTTAAACAAGAAAGCTGTACAGTTTCCTGTTTTTTCAATGTTTCTGGCAGCTTTATTTGTAAAAGCCCTCAAATTTAAACACTGCAAATGCCCATCAATAAGGGAATGGATAAATAGCATAATGGAAGGGTACTCATGAATAAAAGAAATGAACTATAGTTTCACAGAGTGGTTGAGTGTCAGCATGCTGAGTGAAAAAAGCCAGATTCTCATCCCTAAGAAGAGAACATACTATATAATTCCATTTATATAACATTCAGAAATATAAACTGATGAATAGCATCAGGAAGCTGAACAGTGATGACCTGTGGAGCAGGGTGCAGGAAGGAATAGGAGAGTGAGATATGAAAATCATTGGAAGAAAGATTATTGTGAATGCTATGACCCTATCTTGAATGCATACACATGTCAAAACTTATCACAATGGGTGGCACCTGTGGCTCAAAGGAATAGGGTGCCGGCCCTATATACCAGAGGTGGCAGGTTCAAACCTGGCCCTGGCCAAAAAAAAACCACCAAAAAAAAAAAATCACAAAGCATCCTTTAAATGTGCGAAGTTAATTTTATTATTTTCTTCCCCAGAATATTATACATACACACACTTTGGACAAATTATTTGCTTTTTTACATTTTAGGTTGAAGTGATAAGTGTGCCCTTCACTCAGAAAGTGTACATTGCATCTAGTAGGTGTGAATTTACCCATCCTCCCCACATATATGCCAGTAAGAGCCAAGTTGAGAATCAAGTCAAAGGTGTAATACCTTTCTCCATAGCCACAAAGAAAATAAAATAGGAATATATGTTTCCAGGAGAAAGATCTCCATAAAGAAAAATATAAACCACTGAGGAAAGAAATCATGAAGGATGTAAACACATGGAAAACACACCATGCTCATGGATTGTCAGAGTCAACGTTGTTAAAATGTCTATACTACCCAAAGTGACTTACAGATTCAGTGCCATCCCCATTAAAATACCATCATCATTTTTCACAGATCTAGAAAAAATAGTACTATTTTGTAGGGAACCCAGAAAAAACCCAGAATAGCCAATGCAACTTTAAGTAATAGGAAAGAACAAATTGAGAGGCATCACTTTACTAGATTTCAAGCCATATCACAAGGCTATAGTAATCAAAATAGTATGACACTGACACAAAAACAGAGACATAGACTCTATGGAATTGAATAGAGAACCCAAATATGAAACCATCCTCATATTCTCATAGTGTCTTTCACAAGGCAGATAAACATACATACCGGGGAAAAGAATCCCTATTTAATAAATGGTGCTGTGAAAACCGGAGAATCATAAGTAAAAGACTGAAACAAGATCCACACCTCTAACCACTCATAAAAATTAATTCATGATTGATAAAAGATCTAAACCTAAGGCATAAAGCCATAATAATTATAGAAGAAAATGTTAGAAAAATTCTTATAGAAACTGGCCTAGACAAAGAATTTATGAAGACGACACTAAAGCAATCACAGCAACAACAAAAATAAACAAATGGGACTGGTAAAATGAATAAGTTTTTGCACTGCTTAGGACACAATTAATAGTGCAAATAGATAACCTACAGAATGGGAGAACATAACTGCATGGTATACATTAATAAAAGGCTGATAGCTAGAATGATAACTTTTCAAATGAAGATAGACTAATGGCCAAGAAACACATGAAAAAATGCTCAATGTCTCTAATTGTCAGGGAAATGCAAATCAAAACCACAATGAGATATCTCTTAATTCCAGGGAGAATGATTCATACCAAAAAGTTTCAAAACAACAGAAGCTGGCATGGGTGTGGAGAGAAAGGAAAATGCATACACTGTTGGTGGGACTTCAAACTAGTATGATATCTATGGAAAATACTATGGAGATAGCTCACAGAACTAAAAGTAGACTACCATTTAATACAGCAATCCCAATACTAGGTGTTTACCCAGAGAAAAAGAACACATTGAATCTAAAAGACATCAGCACTGTAATGTTTACAGTAGTGCAGTTCACAACTGCAAAGAATGGAAACAACCCAAGTGCCCATCAGTACATGACTGGATTAATAAAAACAAAATTTCCAGGTATAGAAAGGTCAAAGATATCCAATCTGATTAAATTGAAACAAAACTCCACTGAGACATACCATAACACAGCTATCAAGAATCAAGAACAAAGAGAGGATCCTGAGACAAGAAAAAAGAAGAGAGTTTTAATAAGGCTACTGGATTTCTCAGCAAAACCTTATAGATCAACAGAGTGGGATGATAAATTCAACGTTAAAGGGTGGAAAAAAAACCCCTGCCAATTGAGAATACTGTACTTGGCAAAGCAGTCATTTAGAGATGAGGGAGACATTGACTTTCCCACATAAAGAAAATATGAGGTAATTCATTACTACCATACCTGTCTTACAAGAAATGCTAAAAGAAATTCTTTAAATTGAAGAAAATGTTGCTAGTTAGTAATATAAAAACATAAGAAAGTATAAAACTCACTTTTATACTTTGGAGTCAAAATACAGAGTACTCTAATAATAACTGGGGTGTATAAATAACTTTTATCTCAGGTATAAAGAATATAGAAATTAAAAATAATAAAAGCTATAATAATTTGTTAAGGGATACATGATGCAAAAAGATGTAAACTGGGACATCAGAAATTTAAAATGAGGGGGTAGAATAAAAGTTCAGAATTTGTATGTGATCAATTAAGTTGTTGCCAGCTTAAAATAGTCTGTTATAACTATAAAATGTCTTTTATAAGTGTCTTGCTAGCCACAAGCAAATCTATAGTAAATGTAGAAAAGATAAGAAGAAATCAATACTTAACACTGAAGAAAAATCACCTAATTATGAAGGAAGACAGAGAGGGAGAAAGGAATAAAGGATCTACAAAACAACCAGGAAACAAAAAATTAGAGGACCCACCACATCTTAACTTAGTCAATAATGCATTTAATACCTTGATAAACCCATCATAAAGTTGAAAATCACAAATCTAACTATCATAAGTCAGAGACTCTCGGCAGATTGAGGAGATGCATGCACTCCTATGTTCATTGCAGTGTTATTCACAATAAGCAATACTTGGAATCAACTTTAGCATCTGTCAATCGAGGATTCAACAAAGGTATGTGATACATATATGCATATGAAATACTCAGCCTTAAAAAAGAAGGAAATCCTGTCATTGGCAACAACATGGATAAACCCATGTGTTAAGTGAAATAAGTCAAACACAGAGAGATAAACACTGTACATCTCAGTTGTACACAGAGTGTAAAAAAGTTGAACTCACAGAAGTAGAGAGTACACGGTGGTAAGGGTGGTAAGAGGTGGGGGTTTGGTGGAGAAAGGGGGGAGGGGGGACTTTTGTCCAAGGATACAAAGTTTTAGCCAGGCAGGAAGAATAACTGCAAGAGATCTATTCTACAACATGGTGAGAAGAGTTAACGATGTGTTGTATTCTTGAAAATTACTAAGAGAGTAGGCTGTTTTCTCACCACAAAAATGACAAGTATGTGATGTAATGTATTTGTTAATTAGCTTAATTTAGACTTTTCACAATATATACATATTTAAAAACAACATTATACATGATAAATACATGTAATTTTTTGTCAATGTAAAGAAATGGTTAATATGGTAAAAAATAAAGAAACAACAAAAACTATAGAGCATTTGGAAAAAAAAGAAAATGTGTAAGCTAAGTAATAATTACTTTGTTCATCACAGCGCGCTGGTCTGGGTGTCTCATTTTCTGCATCTCCATTATTCACTACTGGCTCGCAGGATTCTGAAGATAACAGAGAACACAGCTGAGATCCAACAGTGCCTTGTACTGTCCTATGTCCACTTTGTTACACCTCACCTTGCCTGTCTTTCCTTCTCAAGTTTCTGCTTATTAGCCCTGCCTGCATGTGCTGCTGCCTCCACCCTGGGAAGGTGTCTGTGCCTCCTTGAGCCCATGGTCATTCTCTCTAACTACTCCTTATGCTTTTTGTTTCTATTTTTCTTCCTTTGTGAGGGTCTTCAACACTTTCCCCCTTGTCTCTGTTTTCCTTTCTAGCTTTCTTCCTCCATGTCTGTCCCATCAGGATATTGGGCTCCATTCCTATCCTCTCAGTGTCTGTGTGTTTTTCTCATCTTTGATAAATGTTTCCCTGCATCCTGCATTAGTCCATTCCTCTGTTCTCAGCCAGGGCCCTCTGACCCCTCCCCACTCATGTAAACCCCGTCGGTCTTACCTGCTGGCTCAGGCTTTTGGGCACATTGCTGATTTGCTTCTTGGCTTCCTAATGCATCATTTTTGTCTCTAGTTTCACCTTTTCTTCTCCTTTTTACCTGCTGTGTTTCACAGAACTGCTCCAAGAGCCCATTTTCAGGTGGGATTGTACCTAAACCAGGTTTTGATTAATAGATATTTTATTTGCCCTCTGCTGCTCATCACTCCCTGTCTCCTCCAACCACCACAGTCTGGGACACCACTGGATGGAGGGCAAAGCACTGAGGCAGTAGCCACATTCAAACGGGCATAAGCAGAAAACTGTGAAGCAGACACATGAGTAAAAGATCCAGGCCCAGAGCCATAAGAACTGGCAAGTGTGTCTAAGGGAATGGGAAGAAGAAATCCTCTCAGGAAACCCAGAGGATAATGACTTGTTATTTAAATCCTGCAGGTGAAAAAGTGCAGAAACAAAGAGTGAAAATTCTGGGAAATCAGTAACACACAGAGACAGCTCCCATAGCACATTCCAGAATAAGATGAGGCAACAAAGGTCCAAAGAGCAGTCAATAGGAACAAACCAGTGGAAATGGGAGAATCTGAGTGTGATGGAGTCAGGCTTGGAATAGAGCTTTCATCAGTTCCTGAAGGGGGAAGAAATTAGAAGTTTATTTCAGAAATTGAAGTACAGGTTTTGCCATTTCCCCTAAACCCTTTTCACGCTTTAGAGTGCAGGCATTACAGACCTCCTGTAAATTGCAATGCAGACCCCGTGGGAGCTGGCAGATGCAGGGGGTCAGGTGACCCTGCTGAGAGGCCTCAGTCAGGTCACCACACAGTCTGGTAAATGAATATGGCTTACCTTGACATCCTCAGCCATAGTGGACCTAGGTGTGTCCCAGAGCTGCCATGCCCCAGGCTTTCCCTCAGTGCCTGGAAGTCCTGGCTGCCTAGACCCCAAGATGTTTTACATGCCCACCCTCACCAGTTGATAATTCAGTGTCTGACTCCTCCCTTTTCTCCAGCTCCTGCTAATCTTTTCTCTGTATTTTCCTCTCTGCCTTTATTCCCAATTTTGTTTCTTGTTTCTGCCTTTTCCTTTAGATTACTTAGGTAGCAGCACTAGGCTAAGAACACAGGCTTTGGGGTCAGAACACCTGGGTTCAGCCTTCTTCATCTGACCTGAGGCAAAATCCACACATGGTCACCCTGGAGGATGGGCACATAAATGACACTCATCTCCAGTGGCAACCATGAGCTCTAAACCACATCAACCACAGAGGAGTTGTTCACTCAGAGTGAGCTGCTACTGTTAAAATATGGCTCTCTCTTCTGTCTTTCCTTTCCCTTCCTTCTCCTCCTCTCTCCCTCTCTGTCTCCCAGAACCCACGTCCTCTTCTCCACATCTGTACCTCTTCATCCGTGTCTTTTTAGGTGACTTCTTTTCTAAATATTCCTGCTCTTAAGCAACATACCCCACATTTAAATCATCCTTCTGCCATCACCTGGTATGATATTGTGATACCTTAAGAAATGTATATGTGTGTGAAAACCCCACACTGTACCCCAGAAGTGCATTAATATACATAGTTACCATTCAATTAAAAAAAAAAAAGAAATGTATATGTTGTGTTCCCTGCTCTTGATCAGAAAACCCTTGTAATATCCTAAATGTTAATGGTGAAAAAAACATTATTTGTCATTCATTATAAGCCCCTTCCAAACATACTGCAACTGTGTTAATGTGGTGACTTTTGGAAAACCCTGAAAATTGGGGGGCTTGTTAGGGTAGAGAACAGATCACATGACGAGAGGACTAGGGCTTCCAGCCCTTCCCCCTGGCTCCCACGGAGGGGAGAGGGGATAGAGGTTGACTTTATCATCTACAGCCAATTATTTGATCAATCATGACTATACATATAATGGAATTTCTATAACAACCCTAAACAACTGGAGTGTTTCTGGGTTGGTAACAAATGGATGTCCAGGGAAGGTATGGAAACTGGTGCCCCTTCCCTATGCTTTACCCTGTGAATCTCTTTAATTTTTCTGTTGTTCAGTTGCAGTTTTCATAGTAAATTGGTAAACATAAGTCAATGTTTCCCTGACTTCTACGAGCTGTACTAGGGAGGTCTCAAACCCAAAGAGGAAGTCATGGGAATCTTTGTTTCATAGTGAGAAGGAAAGGAGCACAAATCATAACCTAAGACCTGTGGGTGGCATCTGAAGTGACAGAGTCTTCTGAGGTTGAGTCTTTAACATGTGGAATCTGATCTAACTCTGGTAGAACTGAATTAAAGCATAGGATATTTAAAATCTACAGAGAATTCAAGAGCTGGTCAGTATCGTGATTACACCAACACAGGCTCTTCCAGAAATGTCATGAATGTGAGGCACAGATAACTAAGACAGGTGGTTTTTTTTCCACCAAGAGTTCTCTTTAATATTGACCATGGGCCATAGTTCTCAGCCCTTCTAATTACAATTTCTTTCATGTAGTTAGTGTCTTAAATCTGGCCCTACTGACACCCTGAACTCCAGTCCTCCATCCAAATTGTTGGTCCAACAGTATCTTGTAATGGCTGTGTCTCCAAGACCCCACACCTGGGTAGCAGCTCAGACACACGCCCCTCCTGACATTCCTCATCCTAACTTGTCCCTGACTCACAATCTCCACTCAGGCCCCTTTCCTCTTAGCAGATGAGAAATTTCTCTCCTATTGTTATTACCTTGTTCAAGGCTTAGTTGGCTACTGGGCCCTTCCATTCTTGCTTCTTCATCACTTTCTTGTAAATATGATTGGTCTGGGACCACTGAAGAGTCAGAGAGAGAGAGTCAGAGGGAGACAGAAGGGAGTTAGATATCTCCAGCACAGACAAGGAACAACATCTTGAAATTTTACATTTAGGAATTCCCAGCTCTTGGGTCACTCAGAGCTCTCATGTCTTAAAGTTCTCCTGTCATCCCTTTGGAAAAGAATAGAGAAGATGTCATCAAGGAAGACTTTATTTCCCAACAGAATAGAGACACTCAAGTTTTAAAGCTAACAGCAAAGTGAAAACATTTTGAGCCATTTCACTTGCCGACAAAAATTTTCAGGTGGTGGGGAAAGTATATGTCAGAACAAATAACAAGAGTGAAATGTTTTTTCTGAACTGTTCAAACTAATGAAAACACAGAGATTTCTTGGGGAGGTCTCAGGTCCTAGACAGAGCTGATAATATATAAATGAGAGAACTCCAAGGGCTTTGGAAATAGAAAAGAAGATTACTTTATGGCTTAATTGGGTCAGAAAGGATGAACAATTCCCCAAGGAACATAACAGAGGACAGGGGGGCAGCTAACATGGACTTCAGGGACCAGAAGGGGGCAGTGTCTTTCTGAGGGCAAAGGAATGACCTTGCTGCCCTGGGAGGTAGACAGTGGCCTAGGCAGTGCCTAAGCCTTGGTGGCCATCACCTAAGCCCAGGGAGCCACTTGGGGGCTGGGATGGAGAGTCCCTGTAGTCCATGGAGACAATCAGAGCTCCTGAGCAGTAAAGATAACACCATTCCCTTGGAGTGCATAGACTGGGGACATCCTCACCACAAATACAATATTGACTTGAAATTTGTGTCCTGGTATTTGATTTTCTTCAATTTCCTCTTCTGATTTGAATGACTTCCTATAGAAATTATTTTATTCTTAATTGAATAAGGTTACTATTGATACAAATCAACAAGCCATATATATACCTGCTTAAATTTTTTTCTCTTGCTGATAAACTTGTAGTACCTCTTGACTGCCTCTTAAATAAACTTCAAATTCCTTAGCTATAAATGCCAGACCCTTCACAATCTTTTTCCAACTTGTCTTGTCTTGAATCAGCTCCTACTGTGCTCTGTACTGTTTATGTGGCCAAATTCAATTTGTTCTGTTTGCAGACATGCTCTCAACCTTTATTCCTGTTCTGGTGGCATCCACCCTCCTGGGTGCATGTGCCCACTTTTCTTGTGATGTCTTTAGATCTTATATGGAGAACTGGGTTGAGATCAAATTGTGTTGAAATAAAACGTTTTCTAGGCAAGGGTGGAAAAAAAGATAGCAACCTCTTTACTGTGTCCCAGGAAAAGAGGAAATCCTGGCTTCTCAGGAAAAAGTCCAGAATCAAGCTGTTAGTTTTGTATAGCACCAAAAATAGTTGCCAGCAGAGCAGTTTTGTGATTATTTAGATAATGTTTGTTCACTACTTGTAAATAAAGGGGAGAAAATCCTTTTTCTTCCTTGTTACAAGCAAATTTCACCCAGAGTTAATTTTTTTTGGTATTCTAGAAATGATGGCTTTAATGCTGTTACTAGGCAAACACAGAACTTAGGAAAACCATGACTGGCAGACTAGGAGGGACTAAGCATGAACTACAAGTGCCTTGTGGGAAACCATGACTTTGGGAACTCTTGTAACTCAGCTTATTCCCTTGTGGGGTACTTGAAATTTATGACTATAGGGAAGTTAAAAGGTACATTGACTGTCATGGGTATGCAGTAGTAGACTAAGATGGATCCTGCAACTGTGGGCAAGCTGTCACTCATGGCAGGTGGTAGTCAACTAGAGCCCTCTATAAGGGCTCCCAGTAAAGGGAGGCAACTGATGTTGCCCTGTTGGGATTTTGTGCTTCTTATTTTATGTTCTTCTAAGTAAGCCTGGGTCAGTGTGGCTCCGGTTGTCTTGTGAGTCTAAATGTCCAGTCCAGGTTAGCAGACTTCAAAGTGGTTGTCCTACCATAGCTATTACACCATAAGCTTCAAGAAGGCTCAGCATATGCCTATTTTGTTAACTGCTCCATCCCCACTGCTCAGCACAGTTTATGGCATATTATAAAAGCTCAAAATATGCTTATTGAAAAATATTGGCCCTGGACCTCAAAAGGTAGGTAAGAAACTTAATTACCATTTCTGAAGCTTTCATAAATTGGAATTAAACCAGGGTATTCCATCATATTGGCTTCACTGAATACTTCTTTCAAGACCTCTGGGTTAAATGTCTTTTCCAGCTCATTGAGAACATTGTACACCACTTTTTGTAGCAGGTTTCTGAAAGATTCTTGAGAATCCTTAAAAATATTGAATTGAAAAAATATAAATGCAGATTTCAAAGAACCCTGGAAAGTAATTTATGCTTAAATGTATTCCAGTTTCCTGTAACAGTTATCTTCTCATGTAAAGGTTTATTTATTTAGTTAGTTAGTCAGTTAGAAACAATCTCCATTACCAAAGCTAGAGTCTCATGGCATCATCGTAGCTCACAGCAACCTCAAACTCATTGGGCTCAAGTAATCCCCTTTGTCTCAGCCTCCCAATTTGCTGGAACTATAGCCTAATTTTTTCTATTTTTTCTTTTTTCTTTTCTTTTCTTTTCTTTTTTTTTTTTTTAGTAGAGACAAAGTCTCGCTCTTGCTCAGGTTGGTCTCCAATTCCTGAGTTCAAGATATCCTCCCACCTCAGGCTCCCAGAGTGCTAGGATTTCAGGAATGAGCCACCACACTCAGCTGCATGTAAAGTTTTATAATTTTTATGTATTCATATAGCTACTAAATGAAACAAATCCTTCTGCCTTATAAAAATCCATCAGTAAGTCTAATCTCTTTACTCTCATTTATATGAAATGTAGAAAGAAGCAAGTTTGAAGAATAAAAGTGGGTTAAAGTAAATGATATGTAACCCTGTAAGAAGAGGGCCAAGATGTTTCCAGAATAGATTTAGCAGGTAACAGTGGCTACTGTGTTGACTGAACAACCCCTGGCCCAGGACTGACTTAGCCTGAAGATGTCAGGGAGACCAGGTGACTGTTCTCCCCTGGCCATGAACTTGGTCACAGAACCAACTCTTAGCCAAAGAGAAGACTTGTTTTTCTGTATCACCAATAGGACATATTGATGAAACTATCCAAATTTAAAAAATTGAAAGAGGAAAGAAAAAGAAACCTGAAAAATGTTATAGAAAGAAGAACAAATATGTACTCCCAATTTGGTCTAACCAGACACTAATTTACCATGGGTTTTGATGTTCTTAGATCTAGATATATTTAAATTTATGTTAACCAAAATAAAATGCCATGCCAATTACCATTTCAGTAAATCAATTCTAAAATTATTCATCAATTCATTAAAATTATTTTTAATTTTTAGTTTATGTTATATTGTATGAATTCCTACAAGGCATTGTATATTTATGGAGTTTATTTCTGATCCAGCTTATTTTCAGGGCCATTCACCCTGATGCCAGAGGGTGACATGGAACATTATTCCTTGTGTTAGAAGCAGGATCATCCTTGGTGATTTCCATTTCTCTTCTCCCTTTTACCTGACAGGGGCACATACAGAATACTTGGAAAGGTACCCACTCATAGAAGACCTCTCAGTCAACTACTTATACCACAAAGTTTGAGTTTAGCATGTCAAAGGTCAAGTTAATATGGGGCTGATTTACAAGATTGTGATATAATAAACGTTACTTACTTCATAGAGTTTATTTGTGATGACTTCATGGTCACGGAGGCGTTCAAGGAATGGAAATATCCTTGTTATTGCATATGAAATGTCCACCTTTAGTTTTTTGAAGTGATTGAATACACAGTTATCAATACACTTGTCCTCTATGTCCTGGTCTTCTGTGGATATCCTAGGGGTAAATGATACCATGTAAAAATGGTCATCAAGATTTTGAGATGTTTGTGGAGGCTATACGATTTTTTTTTTTTTTTTTGCAGTTTTTGGCTAGGGTTAGGTTTCAACCTGCCACCTCCAGCATATGGGGCTGGCGCCTTACTCCTTCGAGCCACAGGTGCCGCCCGAGGCTATAAGATTTTATATATGAAACATAGGCTATGAAGAACCAACATACAGAAAATAGGAGGTCCTGAGTAGAGGCCAGAGTAAATGGCATTGAAGCAACAAACAAACCTGTAATGGTAGGAAGCATGGAGATTATGAAAGACTGCTACATATGACTGAAAAATCCTTTGCCATCCTGGTCAAAGTCATTGTAAAGATATTTTGCCTAAACATAACTGGAACATTTTTGAATTTAAAAAGTCTAAATTCCTACAAAATCAACATGGGGCAAACAGGTTATCCATAGAGAAATGAAAATCAGTCATACAAAATACAATCCAACCTTGACAATGTCTCTTGGAACATTTTTGAATTTAAAAAGTCTGAATTCTTACAAAATCAACATGGAGTAATCAGGTCATCCATGGAGAAATGAAAATCAGTCATACAAAATACAACCCAACCTTGAAAATGCATCTTAACAACTAAGAGAAACTCAGAAAAATAAAAATAAGCTGTTAAATGAGAAATGTGATCCTACAGCATAAAATTCATTTGCAAATAATAATATGTGGTTTAATAATGATAATGGTATGATAATCTCCAAATTGAGAATTTCAAAAAGAAGATATCAGTGACATCTCCTAGAACATCTGGTTCTGGTTTGTGTTAATATAAATTTGTTTGTGCTATTGTTATATATAGTGAATTGTTTTAGACATCTGAATTTCAGAAATTGCTGCTGCTTCCTGAGAAAGTAATTGGGTTTTAGTTGAACACTTTCTTGCTATGATAGTGTTTCAATTAACATGTCTGTATTCCTCAGTGCTGTGAAAACTCATAAGCTTACTTTGTCAAATGAAAGTGAAATTGTACTTCCCAGTATCCAAAATACAGCAGGGAATAAAAATGCTACATTGTTTTTTACTTTTAAATTTTTTTTATTAAATTGTAACTGTGAACATTAATGCATTTATGGGTACAATGTGCTAATTTGATATACAATGTGGAATGCTTACATCAAACTTGTTAACATAACCATCACCTCACTTACTTACTTATTTCTTGTGGTAAGACATTTATACTCTTAATAGTTTTAAAATGTACCATTGCATTATGCACAATAGCTGAGGTCCCCTTAAATACCGTCCCTCCCCCATTCTCCCCTCTCTCCTTCTTCCCTCTTTCTTTCTGACTATAGTTTTGTTTTATCATTTGTATGAAAGCATAGGTGATTATATATTGGTTTCATAATAATATTGAGTACATTGGATACTTTTTGCTTCCATTCTTGAGATACTTTACGAAGAAGAATATATTCCAGCTCCATCCAGGTAAACATAAAAGATGTGAAGTCTCGATCTTTTTTATGGCTGAATTGTATTCCATGGTATACATGTACCATAATTTGTTAATCCATTCATGGGTCTGTGAGCACTTAGGCTGCTTCCATGATTTGGCAATTATGAATTGAGCTGCAATGAACATTCTGGTGCAAGTGTCTGCTGTAAAATGATTTTTGATCATCTGGGTATATAACCTAGTGGAGGACTTGCAGGATCAAATGGCAGGTCTACTTTTAGTTCCTTGAGTATTCACCAAACTTCTTCCCCAAAAGGATATATTAGCTTAAATTCCCACCAGCAGTGTAGAACTGTTCCCTTCTCTCCACATCCATGCCAACATCTATGGTTTTCAGATTTTGTGATGTGGGCTAATCTTACTGGAGTTAGATGATATCTCAAAGTAGTTTTGCTTTGCATTTCTCTGATGATTAAAGATGATGAGTATTTTTTCATGTGTTTGTAGGCCATGCACCTGTCTTTTTCAGAGAAGCTTCTGTTCAAGTCTCTTGCCCACAAGGAAATGGGGTTATTGGTTCTTTTCTTATTGATTAGTTTGAGTTCTCTGTGGATTCTAATTATTAGACCCTTGTTGGAAACATCACTTGAAAATATCTTCTCCCATTCTAAAGGTTGGGTCCCCTGGCTCTCTATAGGCTGGTAATATATTTAATTGTTATTTAAAGAATACAACTATATTTTAGGTATAATTTTTTTTTTTAAATAAGCCAATGGCAGGCTATGTGACTTTTGATCAAACCAGAGAGGGGCAGGGCTTCTTAATAAAAGGGACCACCTAAAATTAGTATTGTTTGAAATGACTGTCTAATTTTGAGGGTTCTGATATTTATGTGAAAATTTAACAGTTTTTTTAAAGTTCTTGGAAATTAGTATTGACATTGAATCTCTTAAGGTAGAATTTTAAGGCTTTTCATGCATGGGCCAATTCCAGAATAAAGCAGAGCAACCCCTTACATACACATGATCACCCTGCTGCTGGAAACTTCAGTAGCTTACATGAGGGGACTCACTTTACAAGGAGAAATTATGGGGGACAGTGCCTGAGGCTCAAGGAGTAGGGTGCTGGCCCCATATACCAGAGGTGGTGGGTTCAAACTCATACCCGGCCTAAAAGAATAAAAAATAAAAAATAAATAAAGTATTAAAAAAAAAACAAGGAGAAATTATGTACTTTTAAAATATATTATTTTTTATAAAATAACTTGCTCTGCTATAAACCACCATTAAAAACTGTAGTGTTTTAGTTTTGTACTTAAATATATTTGGAGTGAAAATTACCACTAAAGTAAAATATGGCTCCAACAAAAACATTAAAGAGTGCTGTATTGAATTGCCAGAACTCTCTGACTTAGTGAAGGTGCTGTGTTATCCTCCTTGGATTTGTGTTTTGTGATTTCATATGCTGTACCATGGCTGGTAATGCTAACTGAAAAATAAAGTCATTATCTGAATTTTGTAGCACTCTAAACTTAAACAGAAGAACAGCTGTTTACATCTTTTAGCAGTTCACATTTGCCTAACTTAGAAATATCCATGTGTCAAAATAATGGTTTTGTAATTGCAAAGGCATGATATATCAGGTAATTTGAATATAATTACTTTTTGAAGTAATTGTGACCACAAAACATCTTTTTTTACATCATTTGAAATTACTCTAAGGATGTCTTGATCTGCAGCATAAACCCTAGACACAATGTTTTTAATAATATGGTGCCACTGTGAGAGGTGGGAGCAGTGAGAAAGAACAAAGAATAATTGGGGGTGGAGAGAGGACTGACCAAAACTAACCACTAAGTGAATTGCACTGTGGCTTTTATTTATGGGAAATCCTTATTTTGGATGACAGAGGGCAGCTGCAAACTGAAAACAATACATGAAATGTACTTTGCTTCATGTTTCCTAGTAGGCAATGATCAAGCACACAATGGGAAAGGATATTTGCATATTTTGATTCAGACAAAAGCTTGATAACTAGAATCTATAAAGAATTCAAATTAATCCACTTGAAAAAAGCCAACAATCCCATATATCAATGGGCAAGAGACATGAACAGAACCTTCTCTAAAGAAGACAGACAAATGGCTAACAAACACGAAAAAATGCTCATCATCCCTAATTATTAGAGAAATGCAAATCAAAACCACCCTGAGATATCATCTAACCCCGGCGTGAATGACCCACATCACAAAATCTCAAAACTGCAGATGCTGGTGTGGATGTGGAGAGAAGGGAACACTTTTACACTGCTGGTGGGATTGCAAACTAATACAACCTTTTTGGAAGGAAGTACAGAGAAACCTCAAAGAACTCAAGCTATACATACCTCCAATTTGATCTTGCAATCCCATTACTGGGCATCTTCCCAGAAGGAAAAAAATTCTTTTATCATAAGGACACTTGCACTAGACTGTTTATTGCAGTTCAATTTACAATCGCCAAAATATGGAAACAGCCTAAATGCCCACCAACCCAGGCATGGATTAACAAGTTGTGGTATATGTACACCATAGAATACTATTCATCCATTAAAAATTGAGACTTTACAGCCTTTGTATTAGCCTGGATGAAAGTGGAACACATTATTCTTGGTAAAGCATCACAAGAATAGAGAAGCATGAAAAATCCTATGTACTTAATTTTGATATAAAGACAATTAATGACAATTAATGACACAGTGGGGGTGGGGGAAGGGGTGAGCAGAGAGAGAAAGAAGGAGGGAGGGGTGGGGAAAAGGAAGAGTAGAGAGAGGGAAGGAGGGAGGAGGTGGGGTCTTGGTGTGTGCCACACCTTTTGGGGCAAGAGAGATGAATAGAATCTTCTCTAAAGACGACAGACAAATGGCTAGCAAACACATGAAAAAATGCTCATCATCCCTAATTATTAAAGAAATGCAATCAAAACCACCCTGAGATATCATCTAGCCCCAGTGAGAATGACCTATATAACAAAATCTCAAAACTGCAGATGCTGGTGTGGATGTGGAGAGAAAGGAACACTTTTACACTGCTGATGAGACTGCAAACTAATACAACCTTTTTGGAAGAGAGTATGGAGAAACCTCAAAGAACTCAACCTAGACCTTCCATTTGATCCTACAATCCTATTACTGGGCATCTATCCAGAAGAAAAGAAAAATTTTTATTATAAAGACACTTGTACTAGGCTGTTTACTGCAACCCAATTTACAATCACTAAAATGTGGAAACAGCCTAAATGTCCTTCAACTCAGGAAGGGATTGGTAAACTGTGGTATATGTATACCATGGAATATTATTCAGCCATTAAAGAAATGGAGATTTTGCAGCATTTGTACTAACCTGGATAGAGGTGGAACACATTATTCTTAGTGAAGTATCACAGGAATGGAAAAGTATGAATCCTATGTATTCAACTTTGATATGAGGACAATTAATGACAATTAATGACATTGTGGGGCATGGGGAAGGGGAGAACAGACAGAGAAGGAAGGAGGGGTGAGGGAAAG